AGTTGAAAAACGAGTGGCGAAGCCACGAGTTTTTTAATGAATGAGTGCTTTAAGTCTTATGAAACGTGTTTTTTATGCTATTTTTTGTAATTCGCGTTTTTATCTTTTTTTCTTCTAAAAAATAAAATAAATTTTGACAATGTAGGGACATAGGTATGTAGCAGTTGGTAACACCGTAACACTTGAAAATAGAAATTTGAATTGACAATTAGAAACTGTCAAAACACAAAATGTATTCACCTGACAAAAATGTTTCATGTACAGGGTGGGCAAATTTGGGTGTTTTTATAGGCTATCTCAGAAACTATAAGAGATACGAAAAATGTAGGTGGCATGTCTCGGTCTCTTTTTCCGAGACTAATCCAATCCCGCAAAGACCAAATCTCTATCTTCTTTTGTTTTTAAGTTATAGCCGAAAAGTCAAATTTTAGCGATTTCAAAAAATGTTCATATTTCGTTTATTTTTGAAATTACAGAAATGGGGTTAATACATTCTACAGGCACTTTTTTGAGTAGAATATATTGTCGTTGAAAAATTTTAAATATAGCTGATAATTTTTGAGATATAACATAAAGTTGTATTTTTTTAAATACAAACTATAGTTGATTATGATGTTATTGAAAAGAGCATATTTTTAGCTTTCCAATGATGTATAGCACGCATGATGTATCTGTAGAAAATAAGCATTATTTTTCAATTCTAAAATATTAAAGATTAAAATTTAAATTTTTAATTATAGTAGGCGAGGAAAACTAAATATTTTTAGCTTTCCAATGATGTATAGCACGCATGATGTATCTGTAGAAAATAAGCATTATTTTTCAATTCTAAAATATTAAAGATTATTTAAATTTTTAATTATAGTAGGCGAGGAAAACTCTAAATGCTACTTTGTTAGTTACTATAGCAACGTGAGATTACTTGTCATTTCATTCATGAATTTTACGAAACGAGTTTCCTATTTAAGAAGTTCCACATTATCTTTAAATAAAACGATAAAATTAAATATAGAATATATTGGAGTCCGCTTTGAAGATGATACATAAGTCTTCATAAGTCCGTTTCCAGTTTATGATCCCTAATTTTCCTCTATCTCACCCAATTTCAAAAGAAAAGATTGCTGATATCAAAAACTTCTAAATCTTATGTTTGGGGAAAACTGGGAAAATACTACCGAAGATTTCATTCATTGATTCCGAACTGTTCTAACCTTACAACCAGTAAGTTTAGTAGATGAAGATCACAGTTTGTGACTGTTTAATTCCTGAACTTATCCATATTTGTATTTTTAATAAACAAACTTTACTTGCTAACCATTTTTTATTAGTGAACAAAGTCACGGATAAGATGCTGAGAAATTTAAATTAACTATTCAAAGTTTTTATTCGTTGGTACAAAACCAACTTTATCCTGAATAATGGTACAAAACCAACTTTATCCTGAATAATGGTACAAAACCAACTTTATTCTGTTATATTCGTGCAAAACCATATATTATAGCCACTAGGTAGTATTTATTGTCCGGACCCGCCTACTATAATCAAAATTTTGAACCATGGCGCTTACTATTTTGGAATTGAAAATTAACGATTATTTTCTGCAAAGATACCATACATGCGATACATCATTAGAAAGGTAAAAGTATTCTCTTTTCAGTAACATCATGATGTTATGCATAATCAAGTATAGTTTGTATTTAAAAAAACACAACTTTCTGTTGTATCTGAAAAATCATCAAGTGTGACCTGGTCTACGAATAAGGGGCTTAGGTGTCAAAAAATCATTTTCCACTTTTCTACCGATTCAGACTCATGTCAGTTTGAGACGCTCTTTCCAATGGTGAAAACCAAAAAGTCGTGACTTATTTAAAATTTCACTAAAAATGATGAGGAAGTGGAGTACAAATACGAAAAAAACGGAAATTTTTGCTGGAAAAATACATCGAATTATAAGATAAAAAATATGATTATACTCCCGAAAAATGTAAATTGTGTTATGCCAATCAGTGATTTATAGAATGGTTTAAGATAGCTGTCCCTTTCATACCAAACAACTTTCTTGGAGGATATAACTTTATTATAACCACCTGGTGACGATTGTACCACGCACTTCAGTAAATCTTCATACGTGTCGATGTTACTGATAGCGTACTTAGCCTTAAAAATGCCGAAGAAACGATCGGGCGCAAATTTCGTATGACCAGTAAGCAGGAAATTTAATAAAATCGTTTTGTTAAGTCCTCGAGCCAGTCGCCATTGCAAATACGACAGCAGAACATTATTTTTGTTCTTCCCAACGCAATTGTCGCAGAAAAGAACAAGTGTTTCTATGTCCTTACAGAGGTTTGCAGGTGATAATGCAGGATGCTCACAACGCAGTTCGGTCCTTTGCCCACATTATCTTTTTCGTCTATTAAGTAATTATACTGTAAAAAAGAATTATAAGCAAGATCTTGTAAAACGAGGAATTTGAGTTCGTATGAGACAGTTTGAAATCCAAACCTGAACTTTTTGTTTTTCGTCTGTAATTCCAAAGAGTGCGCACTTCTTCGTTGCTTTAAAGTAAGCCGTAGCGGGTTGTTGTGGACTGACGGGGTAACGGACCGTTTGAGCAAAATCGATTGACAGAACCTTTTCCGTATCATCAGTATGTATTCATCAGTATGTATTCCACACCAATTTTGATAATAAGCTCATGGATTTCGAGCTTTGTGAAGATGATTGAGAAATTTATTCAGCTTCTGTTCTCGTTCAATGTCAGGAACGTTTTTGACTTGCGCAATCGATAGCGTGTTTTCTATTGAAAAAGAAGACTCAATTCAATCTCATCGTTTCATACAACCGTAGAATAAGCAAACAATGACCTGCTTACCACGACAGAAATCGCAGAGATCATCCACTGGTTTCATTACTGTAACATAGGGTATGTACTTGTTCCATATGCGTCGATAACTGTGATTAGTCATCTTCAATTCGGCATTATTGATGAAGCAATGTACTTTATAAATTGAAGACTTTGTCTCGTTCGATGGCAACTTCATGACACGATAATCTTTAAATTGTGGAAGTCTTCCGGGCAGTGGAAGAGCCAATAAATCGGCTGTGTACTCAATGAATTTGACAGCTTTTTGGATATCGGCCGGTTTAAACGATTTCGGATTTGTACATTCTTTATTTGCTAGATCATATAGTCGTACTGTTGCACCATGTTCTTGAAAATGATGTACTAAGTGTTCGTAACGCTTCTTCCCACATGCATGTGCAAAAAGGAAAAACCAACGACAAACAGGTACGTTGTAGAAGGTTTCCTCTATCCTTTCGCTGTCCATATTTTTTCCGACCGGCAAGCTTTAAATAAACACTTTCTAATTTCTCGTTACACATAATTCCGGCTTCGATACGACTTAATGTCACCAAATCGAGTTCATGTTTTGATAACTCTAAACAATTGTTTCTCGTATTCTCGGTCATTTTTTGTGGTATCATTGTATGGCAGTTATTATTAACAATTATAACAATCTTTTGTAATCAACAGAAACGATTACATAAACGTCATTACGAAAAAAACGGTGAAATCACTTCTTCAGTGTTACTCGTTTAGAAATTCGAAACTAGCAACTTACGCGATTAACTACGAAAATATTCTGAGCTGACACAAAATGTTGACATCTTTCAACCCCGGCCAACGTAGACAAAAGAGAACAACTAACGAGAAACTGACGAACCGAGTTGTTTATCTTTAATAGCGATTTTCTCGAAAACTTATTTTCGAACGTAAACCCACTTTTCGTAGACCAGGTCACAAGTATGTTTAAAATTTTTCAACAGCAGTGTATTCTACTTAAAAAAGTGTCTTAAGAACGTATCAACCCCATTTCTCTAATTTGAAAAATAAACAAAATATGAGCATTTTTTGAAATCACGAAAATTTGACTTTTTTGCTATAACTTAAAAACAAAAGAAGATAGAGGTTTGGTGTTTGCGGGATTGGATTAGTCTCGAAAAAAGAGACCGGGACATGGCACCTACTTTTTTCGTATCTTTTATAGTTTCTAAGATAGCTCATAATAATACCCAAATTTGCCCACCCTGTACACCTCCCAAAATAAGAGAAATTGCTCAGAGTTCAATATCTTCATCACTGTGGACCTTGTATTCAATGCTAAGATCGTGTTTAAACATCCATAGACAAACATTGTCACATTGACAACTAGAAAAATTAATGACCCAATGTCACCAACTTGAACTAGTTCCATAAAATGTTACTAAAATCTCATTACAGCATCGGATGCTGTAAAGAGTCTCATTACAGCACTCGTTTGAGTACTGTTATAGTTTTCATTACCGTCGCGAATTACAAAAAATAATAAATAAATTGGAAAGTTAATAAAAAGACTGATAGTGATTTGTAATTACGAAAACTTGTTAATAAACAATAATATTTAGAAGAAGTCGTTTAATTTGTTCATTAACAACAACGACAAGAAAAAGAATCGTAATAAAATAAACACGATGTTTTTTTATCTATAAGGGGTCGGGCCTAGTAGAAAGTAAACTCTGCCTCGTTGCTTCCGAACGTCCGTCGTCTGCGCCCCTCAGAAACTGACCGACCTGGTAAAGTGGGCTCTTAAATTATGTACATAAAAATAAAGCCAATTTCAGAATAAATTCACAATTACATGAACATAATACACGTAATAAAACACTTTTCGAAATACTGTCGCATCACTTAAAGGTGACGCAACAGGGAGTAGATTATCGCGATGTCAAGTTCTATAACAAGTTACCTTCGAATGTCAGAACTTTAAATCATACCAAATTTAGTAAAACCGTTAAAGAAGCGCTACTAAAAAAATGTTTCTATACGACGGATGAATATTTGAACTGTAGCAATATTTTCAATTAAGGCTTTTTCTTTTGTTTTTACATGTCGTTTATTGTTTGACATTTTTTCTTGACGTTTTTGTATTGTATTGACTGACAAACAAATAAAGATTATTATTATTATTAATATATTTATTCTCAAATAAAATATACTTTAAAAATTAATTTTTATACCATATATATTAAATAAATACCATCCCCATATTTATGTACTCAAAGTTTTCCTTTTTAAACAACTTTTATAATGAATCGTCATGTTATATTTTTGAGAGAATCGTTTTTGACAAATAACACACTCATAGGGTTTCTCTCCAGTGTGGGTTCTCATATGCTTCTTTAAACCGTTCAATTCACTAAATCTTTTACTACAAACGTGACATACAATTGGTTTCTCTCCTGTGTGCGTTTTAATATGCGCCTGTAGTTTGCTTTCGATCCTAAACGATTTTCCACAATAACTACAAACGCAATTCTTTGGTATATCCGCTGAATGAGTTCTGATATGAGCGGTATATTGTCCTCTCACGGCATAAGACCTTCCACAAATTTCACATGTAAAAGGACGTTCTTTTGAATGAACACCCTTAACGTGAGTAGATAATGTACTGGATTGTGTAAAAGTTTTATTACAAAACAAACATTTAAAAGGACGTTCTCCTGTGTGAATTCTCATATGCTCCATTAATTTACATTTAAGTTTGGTTTGTAATCCACAAACGTTGCATTCAAAAACTTGTTTTTCACATAAATTATTGTGTTGCTTTATATGTCTATCTAGTACGGCTTTGTATAAAAAGATTTTTCCACAAATAGGACATTTATTCATCCCTCTATGTGATTGCTTGTGATTTATAAAATCTGAACGTTTATCAAATCCTTCTGAACAAATTTCACAATTAAATCTACGTCCGGTATGATGTTTAAAGTGTGTGTACCAACTGCGATGTGAGGAAAACTTTTTTCCACAAAATTTACAAATATATAACTTTATATCTTGCCCTTCAATCATTTGAATGTCCATTTTTGACTCTAAATCATAATCTGATTCATTTGGTTCATCTTTAATGGAGTCATCAAAGAAATTATCATCCGACAGTTCTTCTTTTTGATTAAATATATCTTCCTGCATCTTTTCTTCCATACTACTAGTAGATATAAGTAACTTTAGTTTGTCTTCAGTTTCTAAACAGTTTCTTTTAAATGTATACGCTGTTAAAAGCAAATTTGAACAATTTAAACATATCATTGGTGATTCCGTTAACATTAAATCCTAAAATAAATTAAAATTGATTTTGTAACATATCTTTATTGTTACTTACAACTTCTGGTATGACAAGTTTAAATTGATCTAAATAATTCTGATCATTAAGATCTTTATAACTTCCAGAAGATGGATTTAAACACAAACGACAACATCGTTCAGACATAATTAATTAATACTATTTAATTTACAGTTAGTAATTTGCAATAAGCTTCGAATTACGGCATACACAACAAGATTAAACTGGATATTGTATTTAAGCTATCAAAAATATCAAGTAAAGTAAAACTAGGTTAGGTTTTGAAACGTCAAAAGTAATGTTTAATGTCAACAAATAAATCGCGGGATATTTAAATTAATATTATCTAATAAATTTAATAATATATCAAAATTTCTTTTTTCGAAAACTGCTATTAAAAGTTGACTTTTGCGTAGTACTTAGCGACCGTCAAAACGATAGTTTTTTGTCAACAGGACGTAAAAGTCTATTACGTCCAGGACGCAAAAGACTTTTACGTCCAGCTACGACAATCAAAGAATTTGATACTATTAATTGTTAATTTATTGTTATGAACAAATTATAAACACAAAATAATTCTCGAACGATTTTTTTTGCTCGCTAAAGCTCGCAAAAAAAACTTTTGTTCTCGAATGCAAAAGTGTCATTTCGCTATCTTGTATCAAAAATAACTATTTAGTTCAATTCTAGTAGTTTATGTGTGATTTTTATTCATTAGTCATATTTAAGACTGTAAAACTTTATGCTTTAAAGGTTTGTTAATGTCATAGTAATAAATATACACGTGTCAGTGTTGCCACACAGAGGCCGCTGTAGTATCCTTCTTGAGGGATTTTACTTCTTGAAAACGAAAATTACCGTACTTTATGTAAAAATAAACAGTAAAAATCGATACCTTATCACCGCCCGCTTATGCAACTTCATTCGCATTTTCCTTAATTTCCTTATTTCCGTAATTAAAACTTCCAATTTTCATAATTATTCATTTAAAACCGTTAAAACTTTTCCCGAAAACGTTTCCTGACCGAATTTCAAATAAATAAAAGCAATTAGTGGAAATCGCCGAACGACGCGACGTAATTACCGAAAAGCACATGGTTTCTGAAAATTATTATTTAAAATAACACGAAGAAGTATCAGTAATCAGTGTGTTACTGTATACAAGGCCGTCCGTTCCGAGTGAGTTTCAGCAGCCAGCGAGCTACCGTTCAGCTACCGTACAGCGACTATTTTTTATGACGCGGAATTAGAAATAGTAGAACAATCAAACCGATTTCAAACAATTACTAGTATCATGAAATAACCGTTGAATGATTCTAAAGACCTTCCGATTGTGATTAACATGATTATTAACCAAAATCATCCCGCATCTTAATTAATTAATTTACTTCATTCCTGATGGTCATCCATGGAAAATACTACCCGTATAGGATTGCCCCGGACACCGGCCAACTGCTGAAGCTACTTTGTGTTGAAGTGCGCGTTCATTAATACTGATTAATCGAAGTTAACGTGAAACACGCGGTCGGGAAAACGTTTATGTAGGTAAGTGCCGTAAACGCTAACCGATTTTGTAAATTATATTTTTGTACTCATAGCATCTAGATACCTATTTCCCGCACAGAGAGGACGAAAACGCGTTTCCCGCACAAATGCTTTTTGTTACCGCAACTAACAGGAATATAATAATAATGACCAAATGTGCATGTTTATAAGAAGAGGTTAATAAGAACGTTTTCTACATTCGTGTGCAGAAAACACAGTTTTAAAATATTTAAAAAAAATCTATAAAAATCAATTTGCAATCAATAAAATCAATATTGACGTTTTGAATTTCGGTTGATTTTTTCCTGTCAAAAACCCCACATGCAACTCATATCGTCACACAGGGACGTTTTATTCGTTACAAAAAATATTGTACAATACACATGCGCAAAGGATTTTTTCAGCATTCGCACGCAAATGCAGAACTCACTCCCTTCGGTCGTTCGTTCTGCAAACTAGCGTGCTCATGTGAAAAGCGAGCCTTTCCGCATTTGTATCGTAAATAACTATTTTGTACTCATAGCATCTAGATACCTATTTCCCGCACAGAGAGGACGTGCGGGAAACCCGTTTTCCCGCACAAATGCTTTTTTGTTACCGCAACTAACAGGAATATTTAATGACCAAATGTGCATGTTTATAAGAAAAGGTTAATAAGAACGTTTTATACATTCGTGTGCAGATAACACAGTTTTAAAATATTTAAAAAAATCTATAAAAATCAATTTGCAATCAATAAAATCAATATTGACGTTTTGAATTTCGGTTGATTTTTTCCTGTCAAAAACCCACATGCAACTCATATCGTCACACAGGGACGTTTTATTCGTTACAAAAAATATTGTACAATACTCATGCGGAAAGGATTTTTCCAGCATTCNAATCAATATTGACGTTTTGAATTTCGGTTGATTTTTTCCTGTCAAAAACCCCACATGCAACTCATATCGTCACACAGGGACGTTTTATTCGTTACAAAAAATATTGTACAATACTCATGCGGAAAGGATTTTTCCAGCATTCGCACGCAAATGCTGAACTCACTCCCTTCGGTCGTTCGTTCTGCAAACTAGCGTGCTCATGTGAAAAGCGAGCCTTTCTGCATTTGTATCGTAAATAACTATTTTGTAATTCGCGACGGTAATGAAAGCTATAACAATACTCAAACTGGTGTTGTAATGAGACTCCTTACAGCATCCGATGCTGTAATGAGATTTTAGTAACATTTTATGGAACCAGTTCAAGTTGGTGACGTTGGGTCATTAATTTTTCTAGTTGTCAATGTGACAATTTTTGTCTATGGATGTTTAAACACGTTCTTAGCATCGAATACAAGGTCCACAATGAACAGTACTCAAACGGGTG